TTTACTGCTGCTTGAACTTATCTTTCACTAATTTTCATTACAAATAGCTAGAACCTGATATAACATTAGAAGAAAATATCCTCAAGATGTTAAAACCAAGCCTGTATCTTCATCATTTTATCCTTTTGTGCATCTTGATAGGACAAATTGTTTCTCCCTCAATTTTTCTGATTGCCAGCTCCAATATTGGAATGAATTTTACTGTTTTCTTGTAATCTACTTATATAAAATTGTAATGTAAATGACAACTACATAGGCACTTTGCTAGAAAACAACTTTGGTATGTCAGAAGAAAAGATTGGATGGATTAAGAATATGGGTGGTGAAGCTGCTTGGAATTTGTGCATGCCAGACAACACAGACCATCCCAAAGAAAAGAAATCCATCAGCAAGCCCATAACGCGTGGCTTGGTCCAAATCCAACAAATGGACTTGTATGGTTATGGACCCCTCACTAAGCACCAATAAAGAAAACAGTTCCATTTTTCTTACCGTTGTAGCACAGGAGTCAAGGCCCCACCATCCCCGGCCTTTAACTTTTCGAAAATCCCCTCCAACGGCTCCTTCCGTTCTTAAACAAACCCTCCAATTCCAATCCCTGAGGAACCCCATCTCCCCTTTTAGTTTTTCCTCTGTCTCAATCAGAAACCTCTTCCGAACAAACCTCGGAGATCTCGTCGCATTGAATTCTAACATCATTTTCTTTCGCTCTTCTTCTCATTTGCTATCAGAAAACCCCGCAAATCTTGCTCTCAATTAATTCAAAGGAAATCAGCTCGAAAGAAAAATGGATTCAATTTCTACCCCACCTTCCCATCGCTCGAACCCAAACTCTCAGACCAAATCGGCTTCTCGTTTAGCAAGAATCGGCTGCTCTGTTATTGAATCCGAAGAGCAAAAACGACCCACGATCCCACATCTCTCTTTGGACCACATTTCTCCGTCTCCCAAGAAAACGACAACTCCAACTTCACCATCCGCTGTTTCTCTCAGATCATCTACCAACTCTCTTCCTCTCCAAGAACTTCTGCTTCTCTCCCCCGCTTCTCCTCTGCGAAGATCAAGAACCCGACTCGCTGATAGGATTGAAATGGCAGAGGAAGGTGCCACAGAGCAAGTTGGTTCTCGGAGGAGATGCAAAAGCAGAGCTGCCCAGATGAGTCTTTTGGGATGTGGCTCGCCTAGGAATAATAGAAGGTCAAGGAGGAGAATGGAGATTGAGTTAAGAGAAGATAGGGATTTGGGCTTGGGTGAAGAGATGGGGAAACCAAGAAAAAGGAGGCATAGTGGGAAATCGAAGAAGGAGAAGCTCAGTTTGGTGCCTTGTCTTCCTTCTTCTAGTTCGTCCCCAAGTAAGAGTCAGCTCTGTTTTTTTCCTTCCTTTTAATGTATGCTTTTTTTGGATTTTTTAAATTGATCTTTAATTGTTGTTTTAATCGTTTAGAAACTGCAGATTCCGGAAAAGATAATCTTGACCGAATAGGGGAAATGATTAGTGATTTGGTTATGTGGAGAGATGTCGCAAAGTCAAGCCTGTGGTTTGGATTTGGATGTTTATGTTTCTTGTCTTCCTTTTTCACCAAAGGTGTTACTTTTAGGTAATGTTCGCTTGCTTTTTATTTTCCTAAGTTGATTTTATTCATTTTCGGGTTTTAGCCGACTCCTCTAACTCTGCTTATTCTCATGTCTTTAGCATTTTCTCCTTGATATCTCAAATTAGTCTTCTGTTTTTGGGCGTTTCCTTCTTCTCGAACTCAATATGTCATAATGTTGAGAAGAGGAATGAATTCAAGCTGAGAGAAGAAGAGTTTCTGAAACTAGCCAGACTGATACTTCCAGCTACAAATCTTGCAATTTCAAAGACGAGAGAGCTGTTCTCTGGGGAACCATCCATGACCCTCAAGGTGATCACCCAAAGTTCAAAGTTCATTCCAAGAATTGTTCTTAATACTTTTAAGAATCAAAATTAAGATTTCCTAAATGAATAGAATTAGAGTTAGAGCTATTGTACCTAAATCATTAAAGCATCGGGCTTGTTTTTCTGATTGCAGGTAGCTCCATTGCTCCTCCTTGGAGCTGAGTATGGCCACATTATAACCCTGCGGAGGCTCTGTGCATTTGGTATATAATCGTTATAAGACTCTTTATCTATTAAATTTGCGACTATCTTAAAATTTTGATGTGGAATTGCTGTTTACCTTTGAGCAGGGTTTTTCTTAAGCTTCTCCTTGCCAAAACTTTATTCATGCTACTCTAGTCAAATAAATCAAAAAGGTATGAAATAGCCCCCCGTATGCTTGTGGATTGTTTTTGATCTTGCAAGTTATTGATGGGAGTAGATTTGGGTATGCAGTGGGGTACATGAAACAATGGGTCATTGAAGCCTGGGGAGCTTGCTCTCATAAAAAGGTTGTGGCAGCTTCAGCAGCCACAGCCTTTTGGAATCTCTCTAGTGTAAAAACTCGTGTTTTCACTGGTAAGTTGAATATGACAGTAACCTTGGCTATGATTTTAACTGTCAACAAACAAATTGTGAGATCTTACGCCTCTCCTTACGTTAACTTTGATTACTTTCTTGCAGCATTCATATCCCTGGTAATAATCCGGTATTACCGTCAACATCTAGTGCAAAAGTCAGATGAAGAAGAGGAGGCAGAAGAACTGGAAGTAGAGCAGCCAGAGCAGGCTTTGGTGGTTGCAGGAGAGAAATCACAGAACTAATTTGGTTCTGTACTCGTATTGAAATTCTAACACAATAAAAGTTGTTTTTTCAGTAGACTGATGAGTAAAGTATATTGGTCTATAGAAAGCTAACAATGAAGCATTAATGTTTGACATGTATAATAAAAAGGCGTTTGTGTTTCTTGTTCATCTTTGATCTTCTGGGAAATACAGATTCATCTTGTCGGCTGATGCAAAATAAAGGTCACAATTCTGTTATCAGAAACTATATTCTGGGTGAATGTTTGCATCAAAAGAATCTAACCAAAGGGAAAGAAAACACAAACAAAAGAACGAAAATTACTTTGCTCAATCACACCAGGAGCTTCTTCTCAGTTGTTTGATCTTTTTGCTAATCGATATTTCTGCCATTGGAGCAGTGGATTCAGCCGTTGCAATCACCAATCTCTGTTTCTCAGTGAGATGCCCCTATGCTCAGGATGGCTGAATTTTCAACAACAGATTTATATAACCGTCCTGCCTCAACCGAGGGTGGTCCATTTCAGGAAAATAGTTTGGAGTAGATACAGTTGTATCTATCTAGTCCAAAAAGTGGCCTTCTTACTAAAAGGATAGTCCCAGGCCCAGGCACCCATAAACGTAGAAAAAATTACAGCTTGAGCACGCTAAGGCCTTCGGCCAGGACAATAATTTATAAATTTTGCTAATATCATCAATCTAGAGCCCAACACATTGGTTCAACTGTAATATTGTTACTCATATTGCGGGGTTAATCCTCGTAACAAGGAGATTTCTTTGACAATAATCCACCACTGCTGACAAATCAAGAAGAAGAAAAGAGAAGGGAAGAGGAGGCCAGTGGAAGGCCTTGGACCATTGGCAATGGCAGGAGTTGCATCACAGAAGTAGGATTTTCATTCTGTTTTTCCAAATTGTCATTATGAGACCATGGAAGTATTGAGGACTTTAAGGTTAAAAGTGATCCTTGATGTTCAACATTTGTGTGTAAAATGAAAAGACAATTTTTTAAAAAATATTTTAGATCAACGTGTATTTAGAAATAAAAAAATTATAATTTGAAAGTTTTTATTTGTTGTTGAAAATAAAAAATGAGATTCAAATTTTATTCTTTAAGTAAGAATTCATACATCAACCAATCAACTAATTATTTGAATGCAACTATTGCTTGAAACTTGGTAGTGATTCTTTACTTTTATTATTTAATTGCAAATTTGACTTCTGCACAACAAATAATTTGTACAAGAAGCTTATTAAGCAAGTAGTTAGTAGTATAGCAGTGCTGAGCAAGGGAAAGGGTCGGTCCTCCTAAAGCCATTGAGCTTCCCATCCAAAAAGATTCAAACACGTGTAAAAGCCCAATAACCCTCCATCCCCGCTATATTAACCCTCCATACCCCCATGACTGAGAGATTAACAGCCCAACCGAGTTCCCAAATCACCCAAAAGCCCTATATAAACTTTCCTAATTGTTAGGGTTAGGGTTTTAGAGAAACCAACGTTTTTTTTCTTTGAATAAAAAATTAAGAAATGGCCACAAAGACGGCGGCTTCAACGGGACAGGTGACGGCGAAGAGAAAGCCGGTTTTCGTGAAAGTGGAGGAGTTGAAGCCGGGTACAGGCGGGCACACTTTGATTGTCAAAGTGGTGGAGACGACCCCAGTGAATACTTCCCAGAGGCCCAACAGGGCCCGTTCTCTCCTATCACGGCCCGCCCCTCCGGCTCGTATCGCTGAGTGCCTTGTCGGGGACGAGACTGGCACCATCATCTTCACTGCTCGCAACGAGCAAGGTATCTGTTTTCCCTTTAAATCTTTTTTTTTTGTCTGGCATAGAAATTTATAGCCTTTAGATTTTAATAATTTTATTTGTTGGGTTTTTATTGAATCAATGCTCTGTTTCATTGCGAAGCAAATTTGGTTGTATAGAAATTATTAGCGTAGTATGATGCTTGGAAAACCAACTTTATATTTTGTTGTGCCTTCATTTGTAGAGTTATTTCCTACTTTGAATTGTTTGTGGGTTTGGTCTAAAACAGGGTAGGACTGATGTAAAGAATTTGATGAAAAGGCTTAATTGAATTTGAGTTTAGCTTCTTCAGTTTTAAGAAGAGCTGCAATTGTTATTTGCATATTATGATTTGGGACTTAATAAATGATGCATAATCTGATGCAGTTGACCTTATGAAGCATGGTGCAACTGTGATTTTGCGTAATGCCAAGATTGTTATGTTCAAGCGAACGACAATGCGGCTAGCAGTTGACAAGTGGGGACGTATCGAGGTCACTGAACCTTCTAAGTTTGAGGTTAAAGAAGATAACAATCTTTCTTTGGTTGAATATGAGCTTGTTACAGTTCCTGATCAGGGTCTGAATTAGGGCTTTGAGTGATTGTAATAAATATATATTCAAGCAAGTGAATATTTAAGAGTAACCGTAGGGCTTGATTTTTGATTTTGTGATTGAGATGCACGCTTCATTTGTATGGGACACATTTCTTTGTCAAGTGTTTTTCGTTTTTCTTTGGCACTTTACAAACTGTGATGATCAGCTTAAATTTGGAGAAGTGGATAGTAACAAATACTACTATTATTATTTACTTGACTCTCTCATTGGTGATGGTATGTGCTTCTCACTAAACTCCTCTTATGTGATATTTTGATCTTGGTTTGAGGAAATTAAATGTCAATTTATCCTATCTGAAAAAATGCAATCACTGGAAAAACATTGATCTGGGCGCTTGTCCCCTAGTTTAGTCAAGCTTCACCAATCATCACTGCAGGTGCAGGTCTCAAGGGCAATCAAACTTACATGACATGGTGCACATTCCACGTCAGCCATTGACAAGAACTAATTAATACTAGCTGCACTTTTGGTCGAGAAACGGTAGAAAGTCACAAACTCGGATCATCTCTTGTATTATTATTGGTTCATGTTCGACAACAAAGCTCTATTGCAAAACAGAAAGAGAAACCTTAACATAGTTAACGATGAAGTCCAGAATAGTAGATTCTACAAGTTAAGAGAAAACGAGAGGTGAAAAGAAAGGAAATTAAGGTCAATTTGGTCTTCTCCAGGCTGGGATTGGCGGACGTTAAGAGGCTACAGGCCTAAAGGAAAAAACACAAAGCTCAGTGTCAGAAATATAAAAAGGATAATTACCTAAGTGAGAAAGGATAATTATGTAAAAGCTTCAGCTTTGACATGAATCCATGTACATGCAAGGGCTGAACCAACAGCTAATTAGGACTAAACTGTGGCAAGGGTGAATACCCCTACTGCTGGTGACGAGCATTGTTGGCCTAGGTGAAATTACCCCCCCAACCTGATGAAGGCTAAATCCCCTATAGAACTTAACCTGGAGAGCTATAAGTAAAACTAACTACAGACACTTTTCACTCCAAGAAGATCAATCTATAGACGCATATATACTATACCAATTAGTGCAATGCCAGACGCATTAAGAACCCAAAATTATAAATGTGAAATACAAAGCCTATAGTCAAATACTGCTTGACTTGATTCACTGCTTTTGAAACTGAAAAATAGCTGAGGTAGCGATACGATATATAATTTCAATTGAATGAAGTAAATAAATATATATATATATAATTTGTCAGCTAAAGTTAAGGAAAATGAGAACAGAAAAGATACTTTCAGAATGGAATTGCCTGGTTAATATCTCATTCAAATGTTGAATCTTTTCAGGCATCATTCTCTTTAAAAGACAAGAACTTTTGAACAAGCTTCTCTCAACACCATTTGACATTCATCAAGCATCATTTTCATTTTTATTCAAATATCTGCAATAAATTTTTGCAACCACTTGACATACAGGATATCATTACAATGCTTTAAAATCATATTAACTTAAACAAATAAAACAAAGTTAAACTGAGAAAGCTAACATTAATCAATAGTTTGGAATACATTTTTGCACCCAATGTCTATGAGCTACAAAAGGCAATAAAAAGAATTGACTGAATATTAGCATCTGTTTTGGAGCTATAGAGTAATGTCATCTACTGGTCCATCTAGGTCTGAAAGTTTAGGAAATTCAACTTCGCTCCTCATCAGCTCACTTAAAACTTCTATGTTATCTGCAGTCACTCTCTTAGAAGGGAGAATTGTGTGCATTAAACTTGCTCCAATCCTCTGAACATTAGTCACACATCATCATTGCAAGCTGATTGAATAGAAATTATCAAGTAAGCTCCTTATGGATTGCATTGAATCTATTCTCATTGATTTCAATGTACTGAAAATCAAACATTTACACTAACAAGTGCATCAAGGTTCACATCATGAAACAACAGATCTGAAACTTTATAATGCAAAAAGATGCAATCTGGGCTAACGCATGAGGTCGCACATTATATTGTTGATGGTAAATGGATTAAAAACATAGTAGTGCTTATCATTTATCAACACCTCTCAGGTTAGTTGCTCACTTCAAGCAACTGTCTCAGCAATTTTCAACAATAGCGTAAAAGAGAAAATTGATGAAGGGAAATTACCACTACATTTAAAAAAAGGAATACTGTTTACTGGCTGTTTATCCCAGGGAATACTTAGGCAAAGTAAGGAAGTTTTTCTAAGGCGGTAGCATATAGGCATGTGAAGACTCCATGAATAGCATTTGTAAATATGGGGCCACACATACAATGATATAAGAAAATGCATACAGTTATATCGTTATCATCTCATCAGAAAATAAACGATCAATGTAAGGAAGTGATAAGCTTGTTATCAAAACTGATAATTCAGGTTGAAAACATACATCATCTTTATAGGAAAGCATTCAATTGAAAAAGCCTTAAAACACTTGAGATAAACCACAACTTAAACAATAACCCTCAATTTATGTTGTGCTTGATCACTACTTAGAAATAATAAGCACAATATCAAGTCTAAAGATAATGTAATGCCTAGCTCAAAAGCTTGAAAACATAAATAAGTCCAACTCATTCCATCTTGCTTCTTGATCTTCATCTAGTCTTGTCTTGGCCTACAACATGAAAAACAGAAGCGTGGACCTTTTTTCATTCAAAAGAGTAGAGCATTTAATAGAATATTCTCTCAATCTTTGCCAGACAGATTGCAGGAGTCCACCGCATGAAAACTAAACTGACCATTCCCTAGGACCACAGTCACAAAACAATTTCTCTTTACTCTTTCTAGGACACCATCAACAAAATACCCTGGAGATGCTAACTTACCAGCAATCAAAAGGAAGAATAGAACATCAAGGTAGTCCTATCCTAGATACCTAATTCAAGAATGAAACATCCAATGGTTAGACAACCTACAAGACAAAGTGACAAAAGGACAACTTCTCTATGAACCACAACAAAACAGACAAGAAATATATTTCATACCCAGTTTTCAAATCATCCTTCGTATTATTTCAAATTTCAATACTATACACCCAAATTCTTAAACTACACATCGTGCAACCATAATGTAAAAATCATTCAGGAATCCACTGGAAACAAGATCAAAGAAGCAAACAAAGAACTCAAAAGGAAGAGCAAAACCCCATCTAGCCAAGGCAATAAGGAAACTTGACTAAGTTTATAACAAAATTGATGCTTAATTAAGCTCAATAATAATCAAACAAGAAAGCTAATAATCTAAAAGATTAATATCCTAATACCTTCAGGAAGCCAACCATAGCTGCGGCGAGAAATGGAGAGCATCGAAGTCATCAAAGCAGAAGCAGTCGCCGTGTGATACGGTAGCATCGATTCCACGCAAAAACTCGCTTCAACTGGACACCTTCAACACCAAAAAAAAAATCTTAAATAAAAAAAAAAGTGAAGATTTTTCGCTATTCGTATGAAGAAATGGTGTTTCTGTTGAGCGAGATTAATTGGATACCTGAAAATGCGGTTGGAGAAAGGAATTCTGGAGGAGACACGAAACGGCGAAGGAGCGGCATTGGCTTTGGCTTGGGGGGCGAGCCGAGCCGCAGCGTTGCGAGCAGAGCTTGATCGGAGAATTGATCTTGCGGCGGCACCAAACGATGCCATTGGGATCTTTGCCAGAAGAGAAAATGTCGAGATTTTTCAGATACCAAAATCAAAGATTCACCTCTTTGGTTTCTGCTTCAGGGTTTTTTCATTTTGGACTAAAACCCTTGCGGGGAGCTGGCGAAGTTGAGGAGCGGGTCGGGTCGGATTGAACCGAATAATCAGAAGTGGGTGAATTGAAAATGAGCCCAAGGCCCAATAAAACCTTTTTCTGGGATTCGGAACGGCCCAATGAAAACTTCATTCCCGTGGACAAGGGTACAATATAGTAATTTTATCAAGGGGGCGGCCTCCAGCACTGAACGCAAATAATTCTATATATGCAGAAAAGACGGTTTTTATTTGGAAGATTTTAACGAGGCAAACGCAATGGCTTTACTGTTCAAGGTATTTGTACTTCCCAGCTTCATTCAAATGCAAATCAACTATAATTTTTCCTATTATTTTTCTTCTTTTGATGTTGTGGTGGGGGGGTAAATTTTAGGACCAAGCTAAGCTTTCAGCGTACCGGGACAGAAAATTCAATGGTACGCAAGAGGAATTCGAGCAAGCACTCCTGAATTCGACAACCGTCTACATCGGAAACATGTCGTTTTACACAACTGAAGAACAAGTTTACGAGCTTTTCTCGCGAGCCGGTGAAATTAAGAAAATAATCATGGGCCTTGACAAGAACTCTAAAACACCTTGTGGCTTTTGCTTCGTCTTGTAACTCTCCTTTTCTCCTTCTTCTATTAATTCTTTATCTTGAAGCTCTTAATTGATTATTGGGTGAATTTTCATCCCCTTCATCAGGTATTATTCTAGGGAAGATGCAGAGGATGCTGTGAAATACATTAGCGGGACAATTCTCGACGACCGTCCGATTCGTGTAGATTTTGATTGGGGATTTGTTGAAGGAAGGCAATGGGGTCGTGGTCGAAGTGGTGGCCAAGTGAGTTCTTTTGTTGTGCCTGCAATTTTACTAGTGTCTGACCAAATGCACATTTTAAGGAAAACTCGCTTTGTTTTGGCTGTTGGAATTGGGACTTCTAGTTTTGGACTTGTGAAGGATGACTGGGATACTGTTGCCAAAGTTCTATTTCTCATATACGAATTTAATTTAGTATTTTTATATTTATGCAGGTGCGAGATGAGTATCGAACTGATTATGATCCTGATATCCTTTTAGCTTCTATTTTAATTTGATGCTGATAATTTCTTATCTTGTACACACACACGCACAAAAGATGTATATGTATAAATTTGTGAAGTCTAATATTGATTTAGAATTTCGGATACACTAGTTTCGAATCTCATAATTCAGCTGAAATCTTATACATTGAGATTTAGGGTTTGTCGATTCCCAATCTAAAGAGTTGGTTTCCCTTCTGCTTGTGATTGTATATATGGTTTCCTACCTTAACATGCTATACGCAGAGGTGGCTATGGAAAATTAGTTCAGAGAGAGTTGGAAGCACAAAGGCAGCTTGTAGATTATGGTGCTGGATCACTGGGCTCATTCCCACCACTTATGCCCCCTCATTGTGAGTTTCTATTGACTGTTAGATATAGATCTCTAGCCTGTCTGTTAGAATTATTCCCTTTTTTTTTTGGCTCCTAAAACCACTAGGTTGCCCCTTTTTTTTTTTTCTGGCCTTGGAGGAAGGGGCATTCGAACCATACTCTTTAAGTGGAGATCATGTTGCTGGTTTTGAATGTTTGAGGTAGAGAAATCGGGCTTTCTCTGGCCACTTTGCTGAAATGCAGCAAACTTGTTTAATTTGTTAACGATGTTTGGAAAGAAGTTTGGATGGTAGAATCTAATATGACTAGTCAAACCTGCTCCTCTTCTATTGATTGAATAGTAAATCCACAGAAAGACTAAACGCTATATATTAAAGACCCAAGCAAAAGTTAAGCAAATGACTTTAACTGGAAACTGGAAGATGATAATCAACAGAAAGAAAGGTCGATACTGTGCTTTTTAAGTTTTTTGGGCTGTCTTGTAAATTAGGAACCTGAAAAGTTGATACCATGCTTTGCAAGTTTTGTAGACTTAATATTATACTCTTGATAAATGATAGGTTGTGTGCTTGTGGCAGTTGGGTATTTATTCATTTCCTTTGCTTTTTAGTCTACCTTAAAATTTCATTAGTACCTATCACTTGATCTCTGCATAACTGATCCTGTGTACTGAAGCCAATCTTCTGGATACCATTTAACTTCTCATATGCTTGTAGGCTTCTCTCCCCATTTATGTCTGCATCTCATTTTGTTTTGGGCCTCAATATGTTCGAAATAGAGATAAAACATACTGACATCCTTTTATTGCAGATGGTAGGCATGGTGGGGGCCATGGTCATGGGGGTTCTAATCGTCATGGGAGAGGTATTTACCATAGAATAGCATGTCTAATGATTTGTGTCTTATATACGTCTGAGTCATTCCTTTATTTGATCCACTGTTGATAAAGCAGATTACAATCGGAAGCGACACCGAGATGATGACCGCTACACGCATGGTTCCTCAAAGAGAACCTCAGATCATGAATTTAGGAGAAACTCTGACCATGACTCCAGACCGGTAATGCTTAACAGTACTGCAAAGAGTTTATTGTTTAATTAAGAAAGCTTGAATTATTAATATCCCCATACTTGCTCATGTGCTTTTGTTTGTGTCGTCTAGGGATACTTTGGGTGGAAATAGATGGGTCTTTAGGTAAAATGCCATTTAGGAAAAGGAAGAACTTAAAAAAAAGATTAAAAAATGGCCGGATCGGAACCGCAATTTCAAATTCCCGTGTCCATTTAGCTGTGTGGTAATTTGTACCATCTGGGGTGTCTGTTGCATACTTTAACGACAATTTTAATCCAACAGGAGAAGAATCCACGTTTTCGTGAGAGTGGTGATTCTGATGATGATGAAGAAGATGATCGGAAACGGCGACCTTAATGGATTCTTCAGTTGTGTGGGGTGGTATCTGGAGTAACTTTTGGCAATTTTAAGAGGTGCTGCACATGTTGGACAATGTCGAGTGTTTTTTGCTACAATTGTTGGGCGCCAACTGCTGCTTAAGCGCTTGCCTACCGATAGGGCATTATGCTGCTGCTGTCTTAGATCTTGGTTTTAGGCTTTTGTTGTATGATTAAAGGTGAACTGTTGATGATTGATTTTCTTTTATTTTTTTCCAACTAATGTGCTCATGGTGTTATATTGGCTTTGATTCTATCTAGCATCACTCTGGCTGAATTTTAGTTGTACCTTTCGATGCAGCAGGTCTCCATCTCCACTGTAAGACTAAAAAACCAAGAAAAGTAGAATTACATCTGACAAGAATGTCAAGATTTTAAATATGAATATGCATATGTTTGTTAAATTTTTAATACGAAATTAGTTATAATTCATTAAAATAATTAATAAAATTAAATCAAAATGTATATAATTACAAAAGAAATATAATATGATAATTATATTCATAATTGTATCAAAATCCAAAACCATTAATCATAATAAAATAAATATTTATATAAAGTTTAAATCGATCATAATTGGATTATAAACATAATAAGTACATACATTTACATGATTAATTAAATTCAACAAATCATAACTTATACATATACACAATTTATTAAATATGCTTTAGATGGATAAACATGTTTTAAGACAATTTTTGGTGCCTTAATTGTGTTGACACAATTACAACATGAAACATGATTACTCTAAATCTAAACTCGTTTAATTCTATATCTATTCATGTCATATACAAAATTGTTAAGTCTAAATAAAAGTCATGTTATCCTTGTCATCCGTTTAATTAAATCTGGCCTGTGCAGAAAATTGATCCTACCTTTAGGACATATTACTTACAAAAGTAGTTCTATATATATATATATATATATAAGTTCCATATGAAGTTGAAGAACAAGATTGGTCAACGAAGGCCCAAAGAGGAGATGATCAAAAAGCACAAGCCAACTGCAAAAGAAGGAAACGAAGTTTCCATTTTTCATTCGTTAATAAACCAGATTATGACAACATTACAATTACAAAGATATCGATGATAAACTTTCTATGTAACAAAACTGTTAAATTAAGGGAAAAAAAAAAAGTGATCCTGCCTCATCTCACTACAGCTTACATTCAGTTGAGGATTGCGCAAACGTTATAGAACTAGGGAATTGCATGCCACTAGCATTGGACTGCAGAGAACTACAGATGTGCAGTGCTGATGCATGTGCAAGGCATAGTTCCTGGGAACCCGTCCATTTGCAACTCACTCAACCTCTTTAATGATTCTTCTTTTACGTATGGATTCAGTCACTACACTTCCAGGGGCACTGTGAGCTTTCCTTCTTTGTTCTTTCCTTCTTTCTGCTTCAATCATTGTGCGTCTGAGGTTGGCTGCCTTGTAAATTGGTTTTGGTAAGTGCCTATGCCTGCATAATCATATAACCAATACAGGAGCATTAAGAACTTAATATGAAGATCATTTGTTCTCATCAAATGTATCTTGAGAAACTCTCCTGCTCTCAAGTTCATTTACCCAAGCACAAGAAAACCTCTTACAGTTAAAATAAAAATCTAATAGATATCAAGAGACCAGAAAGATTAAATAAATCAATTTCCTAGTGTACAGGGAAATTCCACAAAAAAGGGATGCAATATAGGTTTTCTTTTAATATTGTCACCGGTTTTGAAATTGGAATTAAATGTTCAGTTTCAATTTTACCTCACAATACGCTTGACTTCAGGAAGGTGCTTGTAGCGATTCTTAACAGCTTCAAGATATTCATGCTTCTTTTTTTCCCTTGGAAGTACCTGCATAAGGGATAAGAAGAATGGATGAGATTTTAAGGTGGGATGCAACAAGAGAAATTGCTTCAGTTACTTAGCTCGGACCAAATGCAAATATGAATGTCTAAAGACCTTAAAGCTATCATCCGAAGTTTGAAATGCAACCATTAGAATCCATAGAAAAGATATATGAAATAAATAAATACTATAGTCTCATTTTAGAGCTTAAACAGGCCAAAGCTCTCTGTTACAAAAGGTGATTCTCAATTGATAAGACAGTTGCAACAAATTTCTCAGTTAGCTTTAACAATAGGAAATATGGTTTAAATGTAGAGATCCCAATCAATGATGTCAAATGATGAGATTCTTACCACTCCCAATTGTTCTGATGCTTTGGCTTTCCAGAGCCTAAGGTTGGTGTCATCAGTTCCTGAAATGACATAACTGGCATCACTGCTATACTTCACACAAAATACCCTAAAAACGAGAGGAAAAGCAATCAGGAAAAAAAAAACGGATTCAATAAATTGAAGCATCCTTATATAGTATTATCTAAATGATTGGAAACTAAACCTTTGCATCCTCTTTGTATGGTAGATTTCTCGACTGTGACCACCATTATACTGGAAAATTCTAACCTGTAGACAGAAGTCCTGTTAAATGCCAATGTCCTTGGTGAACAAAAACAATGTACAACAGAATTGAAACTAAAGAAAGACAGCTCACTGTTCTATCATAAGATCCAGTTACAAATTCCCGACCGGTTGGTGAGAAATCAATATCCATTCTGGAAAGAATAGGTGAGAGGTTAATATTTCATGAAAATAGATTACTTGACCATCAACCACTAGGACTAAAAACAGGTCATCCTACACTGCAGAAACATGGTCTTTGTGCACACACTTGGCTTCATCCAGTTTTCTAGCATCATAGCTGTAGCAGTTGCAATCCTCATTTGCCTGCATTCAAAAGGTTCTTCAGCAAAGAGATTTCTTTATCAAATGTTTTGTTCCCTTTTTCTTCCTTATTCTCTGGTGGAGCAATGCTACCACAAAAATCAACTACCATACAAGAATTGGCAGCAATCTTAAACATCAAAGAACCTTCTACAAGAAAATGTGGGAAACATATGTTCAATAGGAAAATGCTTCAACTTGTTTGCCCTTACCACTGTGAAGTTCATAGGCTCCATTGGATTCCAAGCAATAGAATTGGCTTTCGTCTGTAACAAGAAGATACAAGTTAGATTGCCTGCGAACAAGTGCTGATTTTGCAATATTGCTGAATAGCTACCGCTTAACGCAAAATTTCAAAAACTAAAAGGAAGATATTATGCTGAGCTCTTTTGAGCTCAAAAATATCAAACCTAAATTTAACAAGTTCCAATGCTCTTTTAAGGAAAACCATCACCATTTACAATAGCTAAAAAGAACCAGCAAAACTCAGATTTACAATAAAAATAATCTGATTTTTTACAAGTGAGAAGTATGAATTCCATGTTTTCAAACTCAAAAAGAGTTCAGAATTACCCTCATGATAACTTTCCTTGCTGGGGATGACATCCGCAGATCATATAATGTTATGCTCCGGTCACTATAAACAAAAAAACAAATGTATCCAAACAATCATATACTATATGATGTACGAAAACATTGTAATGAAGTATAGGCATTTTCAGGAGGACAAAAGTTCCACAGACAAAATAGAGCTGTGGAAGACAAAACAATTTGCCAAAGACCTACCACATACAATGCACATCAATCTGAAAAACTAATTTGCTTTACATTGAATAATTTTCTTTCAATTTTCATATTACATTTACTGCAGAGGTTGAAACCTAGAAGTTCAAAAGTTTAACCTCACACAAAAAATGCACTAAAAGTAGCATTCAACCAAAAACTGCTTGCTAAAAGCCTTTTTCAAGAATTAATGACATAGTATCAACCACAAATCCCTTTAGATTATCAGAACAGCATAATCATAGCAATGATCACTTATAAAAGAATTAGTTTCCTCCACTGCAGAATTGACCTATAAACAAGACAGTATATTTTATTAACTACCTAACTTACTATTGTGACTGGAAAGCATAGATTAACAGCATATGACAGTATTCCTAACTGCTATCCCTTGGAGACAAGATCTCAAACGCCATAGAAAGGGTCATGGGAAATCTATGGTAGCCAAATATACCGTAGGAAGACTAAATTGTTTTTTGGGGTCATAACCAACCAAGATAGCTGACATTATGGACCTCACTACGCTCTAGTCCCCTTTAATTTCATCTTTAATTTATACTTAAAGAGAGGAAGGCTGAGATGGGGACTGGACGCAAGAACTAAATTTGATAAAGTGTTACTTGATTTGTCATATGACCATTATCACTCTGGCCCAGTCTTCTATTTTAACCTTCTTAGGATAAAATATACTACAATTTAAAAAGTTGAAAAGTTTAAACTTAACTTTATATATCATGAATCCATTCTGTCAACCACATAACACTTGATCTAGGAGGAAGCACCTATACTTACTTAGCTGATGTTGCCAAAATATTTGGTTCTCCAGGATTAAATCGAATGGATATAGTGGTGTCTGTTCCCCAATCAAAAGTGTTCACTGGCTGAGACCTAATTACAGAAAGCCACATTCTCAAAATTAATCTGCATACCACAGAAAAGAAAATACAGAAGGAAAAAGTAGAAGAATAGTTGAGATCAAAACCTATTGTGATTCCATATATCTACTTGAGCACCAGCTGTGGCAAAGAGATCACCATCCCACTGGTGATCAACAGCCCTGATTACAATTCAAACCCGAGAAAAAAGAAATGAAACCTTTAAGCATTGTTCCATAAAATGATAAGGCTAAAAGAACAAAAATATTTTTTAAAAAGTCAAGATCGTTACCGGAATGCATTCTTCCAAACATAAACTGCCAGTGCCTGGAAAATACAAGTTGCAGTTAGATAGCAACGGAATTCTTGGTCAAGAAATATAGAAAATAAAAAGGATAGGTTGGGGTTTGGGGCTTGGAATGGAAAGAGAAAGAAGTGTAACTGAAAACAATTCTTTGCGGAAATACATGAATATAACAAGAGAGTATAGCGTACCTTGGCTGAATTATCAGAAAGGTTATCTGAATCTGCACGAGTGGCACCAGGAACATTCCAGAGCCTAACACTGAAAAGAAAGATTTGTAGAGTTTACAACACTGAGAAAATTAGGTGAATCTTCAGGAAAATAAATGTATGTAAGTTTCAGCTTAATACTCTTTCACTTCATGTTGAAAATCAACTTTAACTATTGAAGTTGTGTCTTACGTGCAATCACTTCCACAGGATACCAGAATGCTTCCATCTGTTGATACTGTCAAACCTTGTACAGCACTTTGGTGTCCAGGAAACTGACAAACTGTTCGCCTTTAAATCAAAATTTTCAAACATAAATGTAAATCACAATGCATT